TGGCCTGAAATTGGTGTTTTTTCAAATTATCACAATATTTGCCCCTACGCCCATTTCAAAGGGATATGGGGGTCAGGATCCATCTAATGGCATGTATGGACATTCATTGTGGGGAAACTAACCTATTAAAAAATATATATATTTTCCTCCAAAATGCTGAACCACCCCGGCCCTTATAATTTCAGCCCGAAAGTTGTGATAATTCAAATTTTTACAATATTTGCCCCTACGCCCCTTCCAAAGGGATATGGGGGTCAGGATCCATCTAATGGCATATATGTACATTCATTGTGGGGAAACTAGCCTATTCAAAAAATATAATATTTTCCTCGAAAATGCTGAACCACCCCGGCCCTTACCATTTCTGCCTGAAATTGGTGTTTATTCAAATTATCACAATATTTGCCCCTACGCCCCTTTCAAAGGGGTATCGGGGTCAGGATCCATCTAATGGCATGTATGGACATTCAATGTGGGGAAACTAGCCTAATAAAAAAAAAAATATTTTCCTCCAAATTGCTGAGCCACCCCGGACCTTCTAATTTTGGCCCATAAGTTGTGATATTTCAAATTTTTACAACATTTGCCCCTACGCCCCTTCCAAAGGGATATGGGGGTCAGGATCCATCTAATGGCATGTCTGTACATTGATTGTGGGGAAACTAGCCTATTAAAAAAAAAATATATTTTCCTCCAAAATGCTGAACCACCCCGGCCCTTACCATTTTGGCCTGAAATTGGTGTTTATTCAAATCATCACAATATTTGCCCCTACGCCCCTTTCAAAGGGATATGGGGGTCAGGATCCATCTAATGGCATGTATGGACATTCATTGTGGGGAAACTAACCTATTAAAAAATATATATATTTTCCTCCAAAATGCTGAACCACCCCGGCCCTTACAATTTCGGCCCAAAAGTTGTGATAATTCAAATTTTTACAATATTTGCCCCTACGCCCCTTCCAAAGGGATATGGGGGTCAGGATCCATCTAATGGCATGTATGTACATTCATTGTGGGGAAACTAGCCTATTCAAAAAATATAATATTTTCCTCGAAAATGCTGAACCACCCCGGCCCTTACCATTTCGGCCTGAAATTGGTGTTTTTTCAAATTATCACAATATTTGCCACTACGCCCCTTTCAAAGGGATATCGGGGTCAGGATCCATCTAATGGCATGTATGGACATTCATTGTGGGGAAACTAGCCTATTAAAAAAAATATATATTTTCCTCCAAAATGCTGAACCACCCCGGACCTTCTAATTTCGGCCTGAAAGTTGTGATAATTCAAATTTTTACAATATTTGCCCCTACGCCCCTTTCAAAGGGATATCGGGGTCAGGATCCATCTAATGGCATGTATGGACATTCATTGTGGGAAAACTAACCTATTAAAAAAAAATATATATTTTCCTCCAAAATGCTGAGCCACCCCGGACCTTCTAATTTCAGCCAGAAAGTTGTGATAATTCAAATTTTTACAATATTTGCCCCTTCGCCCCTTTCAAAGGGATATGGGGGTCAGGATCCATCTAATGGCATGAATGTACATTCATTGTGGGGAAACTAGCCTATTAACAAAAAAATAATATTTTCCTCCAAAATGCTGAACCACCTCGGCCCTTACCATTTTGGCCTGAAATTGGTGTTTTTTCAAATTATCACAATATTTGCCCCTACGCCCATTTCAAAGGGATATGGGGGTCAGGATCCATCTAATGGCATGTATGGACATTCATTGTGGGGAAACTAACCTATTAAAAAATATATATATTTTCCTCCAAAATGCTGAACCACCCCGGCCCTTATAATTTCAGCCCGAAAGTTGTGATAATTCAAATTTTTACAATATTTGCCCCTACGCCCCTTCCAAAGGGATATGGGGGTCAGGATCCATCTAATGGCATATATGTACATTCATTGTGGGGAAACTAGCCTATTCAAAAAATATAATATTTTCCTCGAAAATGCTGAACCACCCCGGCCCTTACCATTTCTGCCTGAAATTGGTGTTTATTCAAATTATCACAATATTTGCCCCTACGCCCCTTTCAAAGGGGTATCGGGGTCAGGATCCATCTAATGGCATGTATGGACATTCAATGTGGGGAAACTAGCCTAATAAAAAAAAAAATATTTTCCTCCAAATTGCTGAGCCACCCCGGACCTTCTAATTTTGGCCCATAAGTTGTGATATTTCAAATTTTTACAATATTTGCCCCTATGCCCCTTCCAAAGGGATATGGGGGTCAGGATCCATCTAATGGCATGTCTGGACATTGATTGTGGGGAAACTAGCCTATTCAAAAAATATAATATTTTCCTCGAAAATGCTGAACCACCCCGGCCCTTACAATTTCGGCACGAAAGTTGTGATAATTCAAAATTTTACAATATTTGCCCCTTCGCCCCTTTCAAAGGGATATGGGGGTCAGGATCCATCTAATGGCATGTATGGACATTCATTGTGGGGAAACTAACCTATTAAAAAAAAAAATATTTTCCTCCAAAATGCTGAACCACCCCGGACCTTCTAATTTCGGCCCAAAAGTTGTGATAATTTAAATTTTTACAATATTTGCCCCTATGCCCCTTCCAAAGGGATATGGGGGTCAGGATCCATCTAATGGCATGTCTGGACATTGATTGTGGGGAAACTAGCCTATTCAAAAAATATAATATTTTCCTCGAAAATGCTGAACCACCCCGGCCCTTACAATTTCGGCACGAAAGTTGTGATAATTCAAAATTTTACAATATTTGCCCCTTCGCCCCTTTCAAAGGGATATGGGGGTCAGGATCCATCTAATGGCATGTATGGACATTCATTGTGGGGAAACTAACCTATTCAAAAAATATAATATTTTCCTCGAAAATGCTGAACCACCCCGGCCCTTACCATTTTGGCCTGAAATTGGTGTTTATTCAAATTATCACAATATTTGCCCCTACGCCCCTTCCAAAGGGATATGGGGGTCAGGATCCAACTAATGGCATGTATGTACATTCATTGTGGGGAAACTAGCCTATTCAAAAAATATAATATTTTCCTCCAAACTGCTGAACCACCCCGGCCCTTACCATTTCGACCTGAAATTGGTGTTTATTCAAATTATCACAATATTTGCCCCTACGCCCCTTTCAAAGGGATATCGGGGTCAGGATCCATCTAATGGCATGTATGGACATTCATTGTGGGGAAACTAGCCTATTAAAAAAAATATATATTTTCCTCCAAAATGCTGAACCACCCCGGACCTTCTAATTTCGGCCCGAAAGTTGTGATAATTCAAATTTTTACAATATTTGCCCCTACGCCCCTTCCAAAGGGATATGGGGGTCAGGATCCATCTAATGGCATGTATGTACATTCATTGTGGGGAAACTAGCTTATTCAAAAAATATAATATTTTCCTCCAAAATGCTGAACCACCCCAGCCCTTACCATTTCGGCCTGAAATTGGTGTTTATTCAAATTATCACAATATTTGCCCCTACGCCCCTTTCAAAGGGATATGGGGGTCAAGATCCATCTAATGGCATGTATGTACATTCATTGTGGGGAAACTAGCCTATTCAATTGTGGGGAAACTAGCCTATTCAAAAAATATAATATTTTCCTCCAAAATGCTGAACCACCCCGGACCTTCTAATATCGGCCCGAAAAATGTGATAATTCAAATTTTTCCAATATTTGCCGCTACGCCCCTTTCAAAGGGATATGGGGGTCAGGATCCATCTAATGGCATGTATGTACATTCATTGTGGGGAAACTAGCCTATTAAAAAACTAGATGGATTTTGACTGCGCGCAGTCGAAAATGATGCCTCCGCCATAGAGCAATTTAAACAAGTTTGGAGTTTAAATCTCCAGTGGTTCTTGAGATATCATGATAACAATCTCAATGTATGGAATTTCATAAGTTGACCTCTGTGACCCTTGACCTTTGACCTACGTGCTCCAAAATCTAATCAGATTGTCTTCCTATGGTGATACACACTATCATTAAGTTTGAAGTTTAAATCTCCAGTGGTTCTTGAGATATTATGATATGGTGATACATACTATCATTAAGTTTGAAGTGAAAATTCTCCAGTGGTTCTTGAGATATTGCAATAACGATCTCAATGTATGGATTTTCATAAGTTGACCTCTGTGACCCTTGACCTTTGACCTACGTGCTCCAAAATCTAATCAGATTGTCTTCCTATGGTGATACACACTATCATTAAGTTTGAAGTTTAAATTTCCAGTGGTTCTTGAGATATTATGATAACAATCTCAATGTATGGAATTTCATAAGTTGACCTCTGTGACCCTTGACCTTTGACCTACGTGCTCCAAAATCTAATCAGATCGTCTTCCTATGGTGATACATACTATCCTTAAGTTTGAAGTTTTTACATCTCCAGTGGTTCTTGAGATATCATGATAACAATCTCAATGTATGGAATTTCATAAGTTGACCTCTATGACCCTTGACCTTTGACCTACGTGCTCCAAAATGTAATCAGATTGTTTTCCTATAGTGATACACACTATCACTAAGTTTGAAGTTTAAATCTCCAATGGTTCTTGAGATATCATGATAACAATCTCAATGTATGGAATTTCATAAGTTGACCTCTGTGACCCTTGACCTTTGACATACGTGCTCCAAAATCTAATCAGATCGTCTTCCTATGGTGATACATACTATCCTTAAGTTTGAAGTTTAAATCTCAAATGGTTCTTGAGATATCGCGCTAACAAACCCAATACAAGGAATTTCATAAGTTGACCTCTGTGACCTGTGACCTTTGACCTACGTACTCTAAAATCTAATCAGATCGTCTTCCTATGGTGATAAATACTATTTTGGAGTCTTAAGTTTAAATCTTAAATGGTTCTTGAGATATTGTGATAACGGTCAAACGGGACGGACGTACGGACGGACAACCCGAAAACATGATGCCTCCGGCACCACCTTCGGTGGCGGAGGCATAAAAAAGGTTGACTCTTGTGACATCTTCACTGAAAAAGGAGTATTTATACTCGCACTGCTTTGTTCAATGTAACTCTGCCAAACATATCTCAGATACAAGAGTACTGGTAAACATAAAAATACAGGAAGCAATAAATAATCACATGTCAAATCTGATGGAGGGGTAAACTGACCTCCTCTATCTGCCCAGCTCATTCAAAGTTTGCGAATCTTCCGTGACGGCCCTGTACGATGTATGATTTACTCACCAGGTACATACGGAGGGTTGTCGTAAGTGTTGTTGGTGCAACCTGGTTGCCCTCCTGTAACTCTACCATTCACAAAGTTGGAGGGCTCGTTCATGTCCTGTAGGACGACAATGAAAATAGTCGCAGAGTAGTCCACTAAATAGTCACAGAGTTAGTCCACTAAATAGTCACAGAGTAGTCCACTAAATTGTCACAGAGTAGTCCACTAAATAGTCACAGAGTAGTCCACTAAATAGTCACAGAGTGGTCCACTAAATAGTCACAGAGTGGTCCTCTAAATAGTCACAGAGTGGTCCACTAAATAGTCACAGAGTGGTCCACTAAATAGTCACAGAGTGGTCCACTAAATAGTCACAGAGTAGTCCACTAAACAGTCACAGAGTAGTCCACTAAATAGTCGCTACATGTACATAGTGTTGGGGGAACATGGCATCACATGGCGATAGTTTCAACAGTTAACCCTTTGATTGCTGAATTCTCTCTTTCCCATAGGCATAATGCAGGGACCATTTGGTTCCAGTGGGCAATGGGTTAAAGAACAAGCTACAAACCAGACCTGTAAATAGCCCTATTTAATGCTGGGTAGTATTTCACCTTTTGAAAATTTCAACAATACATCTTCAGATTTTTACAGACCGTATTCCTCTCAAATTATCTTGACAATGGCTGTTTTTTTAAAAGACATACTTGATGAAATGAAAACAGTCATGCAAATATTTGTAATTGATTCAGTAAAGGGAGCTGGAAAGGACATATAATACATTCACATTAAACATAAGAAACAAATAAAAACGAGAGGAGTTGCACAACTGGGGCCCGTTCCTCGAAACCGTCAAAAGTCTAACTTCTTGACTATCCTATTGAAACATGTGATATAGAATTAACATGCGTTTCAATGGGATTATCGACTAGACAAGAAGTTAGACGGTTATGATGGTTTCGAGAAACGGGCCCCAGACAGACGGATGGACAAGGGAAACAACTTTTTTTACCAGCCACATGCCATCAAAGTTGACAGTATCATGGAATTTCTGTGCAAGGGATTGCCACCAGCGCGATGCATTGGGATGGAACCAGTCAGGGAATGCTGTGTCTCCGGGCCACACCTAAACAAAAGAAAAGATAACAATGAAATTTCAACCGATCGTCTCTCTACAAGATACCGACAACTCAGTACTTTAATTTACAAAGCAAGTTGGAGCACTGGTGGCCATGTAAGATGATAAGCAAAATGCAGTGGCACAAAAAAGAAGTGTTCAGAACACAAAATGCATACCGGTATATACAGTAGGCTTGCGGATGCACCATGTGAGAGAGAGGGAGAATTGAGGAGTTCTGAAAAGGACTCTCGGTAATCTTTCTTGAGGGTGTGTAGTCCTGAAAGGACTGTTGGTGTAGTCTTGAAAAAGACTGTTGCATATAGTTGGTGATAAAATTATATCAGGGGAAAAAAGTTGTAATTAGACATAACTGAATGGCATTGGGGGGGGGGGGTGGTTATTAAGCCTTATCATTTATTATCGTTTCAAAAACACATAAATAGCAATTCTCAACAGTTAGAACATTGTTATAATAATCCTCAGCTTGGATTTTGGCTTCCAAAAGTAAACAACATGGAGGGACGATCACATAATGTCCTTTGACAAGACATTAATCTACATTTGCCATACTCTACCCAGGTGAGGTAAATAGGTACCCGGTAGGAAGAAATTCCCTGAATGCTTTAGCACCTTTTAATGGTAGCTCGGTTAAAGCCAGGGTAATAATATGATTGCAGGGCCCTCAGGGAGAACAGTATGAATACTGATGAGGCTACCCTGGGTAAACAAGACATATTATTATTATTACAATTTCTTCTTTATAAATTGTAAATTGACACAAACAAAACTCCAGAAAACATACCTTTCCAATAAAGATACTTCCATCGTCTGCCTTGATGAAGATGTCGTCAGTGACACCGGTATCATACGGAGGATAGGTACCTGGAGTCTGAGAGCTGCTGATTGCTGGATCCTACATGGAGCAAAAAAAGGATGAAAGACATTTAAAGCTCGTCTGTACTAGTTTGGCCAGGGGGGATTAGACCATCCAGTGTGGTCACTGACAGGTGGCTATCTCATCAACTCAGATCTCAATTAACATATGAAAAAGAGGATCATGGAGACCAACAGGCACCGCTTAGGAATTATAGGGAGCAAGTACAGTGGGGAATTAAAGTAGTTATCACTGAATCCATTATGGAATAAAGACTGAATCTTAACTGGTACAAATATATATTTCATACATATTCATGGAATATGCTAATTAAGTGCACATGCAGAATTGGTCACCAGTTTCAAGGAGCGGCAATACCACAGAATCAGTGATAACTTCCTGTAATTTGTAGTGGTTCTGTGGTTTGTTATATTTGTTTGCCAGGTGTGGTGGATGATCCCCTACATTATATAGAACCTTCTGGTCTTAAAGGGAAATCCAACCCTTGTAAAAAGTTAATTTAAATGAAAGCAGAACAATCAGAGAAACATTATAGTGACAGTTTAAGATAAATCGGTCCAATGATAACAAATCTATGAATGTTTGAAATATAAGATCAATACAGCTATGCAAATCTCAAATTGGCCATTTTGTCAATGATTGTGACGTAGTGATGGACAAATCAACTTGAAGTTCCCATGTATGTAAAGTGATTTAAAAAAGTCTTAACTCTTTTGTCCAATTTTGTTCAAACTTTCACCAGTCTACTTTTCTGCTTTCTTTTAGAGTTGTTTGTTCTGAAGGTTGGATTTCCCATTAACAACAGCAAAGTAATTATGTTAATGTTAAAAATGAAATGGGCTGTATTTTGTTCATGGAAGGCCATTAAAAGAGTCCTATATCCCTGAAAGGAAAATTTGGGTGAGAGGCATTATCTTGAATCTACTCTTGAGCTAAATAAAATTGTAAAAACTGCCAGAAATAGCCAATACTAGACCATAAACCCCCCAAAAGGCAAGGGTTTTAGTTCACTTTCTTTCAAGTGCCTCTAATAGATTTCCCATTTTGATATGACTGTGACATGATTGATATTTGATCTTGATGAAATAATATTTTCATTTGCACAATAATTTAGTTGTTTTTCTTTTTCGCCAAGAATGAGAGCATGTTGAAGCATATATGACATTGCTGTGGGATTTATTCTTTTTAATAATTTCACAAATCAAATAAGCATGGAATCCTTTCCTTATTATCACTGGTAGGGGTAACTTATTACTGATGGAGTCCACAATAATGTATTCTCACTTTAAGAAACGCATGTGAAACAGAAAAGCAAGATTTGCAATTATGTTGAAAAAATCAACTCGGGTCACTTTCAATACCCTAATGTATGTCCCATCAACATTATGTTTGGATTATGTAATACGTCATTGTCATATTTGCACATTTCAATTGGTGGGGCACAAAGCTATTAAAATTGACTTCGGTTTAATTTTGTAAAGTACTTGCTATCGTATCGAAAATAAAGAATTTATGTCAAACACCTTTCATACAAACCATGCATTCATTTAAAAGCTAAAGTGTGGGCATCCCCAATCAATTGTACCCATATGTTTTCAAACTTAAAACAAACCCTGAAAATATATGATTTCTATTGGTCATGCTTTTATTACTTTGATATGGTCAATGGTGATTTGAATTTGCTTCAAAATGTGCCTCTCTTTGTCATTATGATACAGGCCTTGTTACACTAATAGTTGCTATGAACAATGTTGGTGCTGTGACAAAAAGATGATAGTAATTAGCTAACAAAGAAAAAGCAAATGCTGAATATAATATTTTGGCAAAACTTAAATTAGTGAGAAGTTATGGCATTTGTGCAAAAAAAAGACATACAAGTACATGTATTACAAAAGTCAGAATTCTCTTTTAAAACATTAAATATCTAATAGTCAAACAAAATACCCTTTTCAACATTTTTTTTCTTCTTCAGCTCAAGCACCTAGAGATATTTTTACGAACAAGTCAGCTTTCTTTTAATTATTTAAGTATTTCAATAGCTTTTATTTTCAGGCTTGTTAATAATATAGTGATTTTTTTTTTAAATGAAAAAAAAAGAGGTAATAATGCGATGAACGTACAACTATGGGTATGTAGTGAAGACCATTAGCATGCAAGTCAGCTATCAAGCCTGGTAGATTAGCAAAGGTGGCCGAGTTTAAGGTAAAATCCTTTCTTCCGACTGAATACTCAATATCGTTCCATTGCACGTCCTATAGCACACACAATTTTTTTTTAATGCAAAATAAAATGAGAGAAGATAATGAATAAATAGATTACAAAAATGAATGGTGATGTGAATGAAAACAAAAAATGGATGCAACGTGAATACACTCGACAGTTGTACATACGACGATTGGAATGTAATGTTGGCCGTTGCTGTGTAGATTTTCGACGACTTTGCCGGTTGTCTCGAACTTGGTGGGGTCCAGCGTCCAATCAAGATGATCTTTCATGTAGTCAATGTCATTCCACTGGCCATCCTAACGGTAAGACAATAAGCTCAAAGTGTATCAGTCACCAACACATATTTTGCTGGTCCATGTCATTAATACAAAATATGAGCTTCAAATTAAAACATCTCTATAAACAGATATTGCACAGTTTCAAAACACACAAATTGGTAATCTGGTAATTTCAATATAATGTTATAAATTGTTTGTATATTTATTGTCAATTTACAATGACTGTGGTGTAATGCATCACAGATATGTTTTCATGCTTTAACCCAATTTAGCTTACTATTTCTATCATTATCATATTGCAATATATGAAAATGTAATTTTCAAATTATCTACATGTATCTAAATATATCAGAAAACTGGCAGAAATATTTCTTATTTTTTAATATAGATGATGTTATGATAACAATCGTTTCGAAAACACCCATTAAGTGTTACTTCTCATGGATATTGAAACACTTAATATTTTCTTCATACTGATTTAGAAGAATAGAGTACATTATACAATGGCAGGAAGCAACAGACATAAATTAATCATTGTCATGTGGTGCAATAACAGGAAGTACTTATGAAACTGAAGACGAGAGAGAATGGTTTATTCAGGAACTATATTGCCCTTTGTCGATCGATATGTCGACTTCAAAGGTACCTACATGTAACTTTCAAACTCATTTTAAAATGGGTTTTGAAGTCCTCTTATAGCCATCCTGCATTTAATGTTTATCTGAAATGATTTCACTACTATGCATATTCTGTATCTGTGCACTGTCCAAAATGCTTTTTGTATGTGTTGTCTATAAACCTCTCTCTCTCTCTCTCTCTCTTAGTTAATCCCCCTCTCTCTCCCTAATACTTCAACAGGCAGGCTAGAAATAATATGTTGTGGATAACTACTGCATATTTCAACACTGCCAAAGCAATCCCATTAAAGCAGAGAACTGGAGAAACATACAAAGATCTAAAGCCCTTTCATATTCAAGACATTTTATGTTCTCATCATCTTGGTTTATTTGTTCTGATTTAGTCGTACTTTTGAATGTCATGATTCTCATGTGAATTTATGTACATTATGTGACGTATATACACATATACACAAGTGTTTATCAATTATCTTGTAACTACATTGTATTCTGTTTATGTGCTGCCAGTGGAGGCCATTTTCTATATTTTGAATATGGATCAATAAAAGAATCAATCAATCAATCAATCAATACCTGAGGAATCCTGGCCTGCCGCATCCTCTCCACGACTGCCATGGTGCCGTTGGCCGAGCCATAGCCCCATCGACAGAGATGGAAACCCAGGGCCCACATAGGGGGCATGAAAGGCACCCCCACAACCTCCTGGTACTGCCGGATGACATCAATGGGGTCAGGACCAAGGAAGATGTAGAAGTCCAGGATCCCACCGACGGTCCTGTACGTGATGGCCGGGGCCGGCTGGAGGATGGCATCTGGTTTGCATAAGATGCGAGGGAAATGGTGAGAATAATTGTCAAGAGTCACCTCCCATGCATTGTGACATAATACAAACATAAAAACATGCTATTTTTGAGGGCCCTCTCTCCAACCTTTTGTCTACTTCTGTAAGTGATAGATTTCTTTATATATACCCCTTCTTCTCTCCATCTCTTCCCACATCTCTCTCTCTCTCTCTCTCTCTCCCCGCCCCCTTTCCCTATTGTTCTATAACTCTGGGGAGCATGAAAATGAGAGCACTCTCCCATAGCATTGGTAATGAGAAGATCAAAACCCGCTGTATTCATCACCACTTGATTCAAAGTCATTACAGAAAAAAAAAAGGTTGCCAGACTCCTTTTTTTCTCTCCTTTTCTCACATCTTCATTTTCTCTCTGTTCACTCCCCCCCCCCTCCCCTTCCATACCTCTGAGCAGTATAAAGATGAGAACACTTACCCATAGCATTGCTGTTGAGAAGAAAGACACCATGTGCATCTCCATTTGATTCTAAGTTAATGTAAAATGGATGTACTCCATACAGGTTGACATTTGGCTAAGAAAGAAGAAAAAAAATAATGTTGAAATATTTTATAAATTTCAATTAAGTTCATTTAGATTATATTTCATTAGGTTTCTCTTTTTTTCTCACCACTTTTAAGTGGAGAATTGAGAAGTTAGATATGATTTGTAATAGTGGAGCAAGCTAGCCAAAAAGCGCTTATTCAGCAAGTTAGAATCAACATGTTTATGCTTAAGTTCATCAGAAAACAGGCATGGAAAATCAGGATATCTGGTACAGATACGCAAAGTATGGAATTCCAAACCATGACCAATTGCTCAAATTAGAATATTTTGTTTTGGAATGATCATGACATTTCATTTTGAATGGCTTAATTCAGAAAATACAGGAAAAGTTGAACTTGATATACAAAAACAATATTGGACGCGCCTTTGACTCGCCCAATATTTCCTTGTATTGACTTCATGGCCATTTATTATCTAATATCAAACTATCTGACAAGTTTCATTCCAATCTCCTTTTGGTACTGGAACTGTTAATGGTATCATAAGGCCTGTCTTCATCAGCTCAAGACTGCCAAATAGCCCGCTATTTCTAATTTGGGAAATAAACCAGAACTTACAAATCGCGTCTTCATCAGCTCGCGACTTGACCTCAAGATATTTGCTCAGCGTTCGTGCATAGTGCGAGTCTTCAGGCTGGTGAAGACGCACCGGACAAATAGCGGGATACTTTGCAAACTAGCCCAAGATACTGGATAATCATCTTGACTTAATATTCCGCTAATTGCACCTTTGGGCTTATGAAAACGCAAATTAAATGGATAATTTGCGATGTAGATAGTTCAAATAGCGGGATATTTGGCAATCTCCAGCTGATGAAAACAGGCCTATTTGTATTTTTCTTGACAGGACTTACAGTTGGAGGCTGATCTCTGGCCCAGAAGGTGAACCTCTGCCAGTCCGTCGGCAGGGCTAGACTACTCCGATGCTCACCAAGCCCATAGATGTAGGAAGAGGAGAGAGATGAAGAGATTTGGATGAACTGGTCGCAGAAGATGAAGCCTGGGTTGGCGGTGGTGTTAAATCTAAAATAAACAAACAAAAAACTAAAATATTACATCTAGTCCATGATTTAGCTGCAAGTATATCGCCTATTGAATCTACAAGTCACAAAATTAATTATGATTTACTATTGTACTTTTGACAATCGATCAATATAAAAATGATAAATGATGCTAACAACAGCACTAACAGCAGTAACATCAATATTAATAATAACAAAATTAAATAATGATGATGATGATAATAATTATGGTAATTTAGCAATTACTATAATTGGATTAATAAAGCACTAATTTCATATTTTTAGCATGTAAAGTTAACCAAAAGTTAGTTTTAACTTTTAGGTTTAAGAGAAACAAATTATATTGCACCTCTCTCTATTTCTGTGCTCTAGTTTCAAAGTTAAAATAGCAGCTAACTGTCATCTTTGTAGACCTACATTACTTCTTGGCTGGCCTTCCTGATCACGTTGAATCCAAAATGTTCTGACAGCTCGACTTTATACTTGGGATTAGATGGCAGAGATGTGAAGGGTGGGGTGTATATCGGTACTTCGTACCTCGCTTGGCTAGGATCATAGATCTAAGGAAAATGAAGACAAATTATACTTTAACACCAAAAGCATTCACTTTTATATTAGGGGCAGTATAACTTCAGCATTGATCAAACTTCAAAGATGCTATTTGATTTAGCATTGACATAAATGTAGAAATTTTTACTTTGCTAGGATAGGAAAAACTATCCTGAGGCTGTACGATTCAAAGAATTTTTTTGTGACAATTTAAAAAAAAAAAACCTTAAACTTCTTATGATTGGTGTTTAAGTTCAAGTTAACTCACAAGAATATCAGTGCCAAACTATTGTTCTATTTGATTTTCCTGGAAATTAAATTAATAATACTTTATTTTTGTGTCTCACATAACACATTATGCAAAGCTATATGCATTTCCAAACAAAAATTCCCTTAATTTTGAAACTTGACCCAATTATGTAATATTGACTTTATTTTTAAAAAAAATTCTTCTCGATAATTAATGCAGTAGAATTCTCAGCACATTATTTAACCAATGAGAAACTAATAAAAGGAATGTAACAAAAGTACACATGTTACCTCAAAAGCTAAGCAATAAATTAATATAAATCTAAAGGATAGATCATAGAGTAGATCTAAAAGTAAAAGAGTGTTAAATTAAAAATAATTATAAGTAAATTTGCCCTTGCAATTTTCAGCTGATTGTGTCCCCTCCAATAAGCATAGATCTAGGCCGGTAATAAAGGCTTACTGCACAACATATGTTTCTTGTTAACTGTGCAGGGACTGTTTGGTTCCTCTTTTAAGATTATGACCAATCAAAATGAATTTTGGTTTTTATTTTTTTACTTTATTTGCCATAGGTCTAGACTCTAGATCTATTTAGATCTAGTTTACCTTTACACGGAGCCGATCATCAGTTTCAAAATAAACATCCATCTTTAAACTCATGATATCCTTAGGATAATAGCTCTGTGTGGTTCTTTTGAGATTTGCAGTAAACCCATAGTTGGTTTGGGTTTGTGCTCCATTAACATAGCCAGGATAGTCAAGAGGATAGTAGCAGTACGGCACATCGAGCTTCACACGAGCGGGATCAACGGTGTCGTTCCGCCTGGACTTCGCCTGGGCCCAGCAGCAGCCGCGCGCCTCACACACAGTTCTGCTGAGAAGCGCCCGATTCTGGATGGCAATCGAAGCGATGATTATCGTCCACTTTCCCACATTGTTGTCCCTGAGAGGCAGCTATGATGCAGAGCAACACAAAAATGTGCCCTAGCACGCTGGAATCCATCATGGCTTTGAATTTGAGCGACAGTTTCAACACGGATTCGACAGTTTTCAGCCAGGGTCCCCGGCGCGCTCAGTTTCTACGAACAGTAATCACGTCACATGACGTAATATGGTGAAGTCACCTGACTGATATGATCTGGACCTCCGCATGCATGGCCCCTCCCACTCAGATTGAGATTTTTTTTCGCGGTGACACCGGCCCCCACCCACCCAACCAACCAACCAGGGGCGTCGCCAAAGGGGGGGTGTGGGGGGTGCGACACCCCCCCCCCACCTGTCAGGATTTTGTCGGTAAAATTGCGCTGCCGTCGGGAAAAAGAGAAAAGGGGGGGGGAAAGAGGGAAAAAAGAGAGGGAAAAAAAAGGGAGGGAAAAAAAGAGAGGGAAAAAAAAGAGAGGGAAAAAAGAGAGGGAAAGGGAAAGAAAAGAAAAAAGAAAAGAAAAGAAAAAAAAAAAAAAAAAGAAAAGGAAAAGAAAAGAAAGAAAGGAAAAGAAAGGAAAGAAAGGAAAAGAAAGGAAAGAAAAGAGAAGAAAGAAAGAGAAAAAAGAAAAAGAGGGAGGAGAGGAAAGAAAGGAAAAGAAAGAAAAGAAAGAAAAGGAAAAAGAAGAAAAAAGAGTGAAAGGGAAACAAAAAATACGGGGGATGAAAGAGAGGAGAGAGAGGGGAGATAAGAGTCTGAGAGGGGAGGAGTGGGAGTAAAAGAGAGAAGGGGTTGTTGGGTGGAGTCGTCTCGTCGAGGGAGCAAGCAAGACACGGGTAAATATGTTGCTGTGTCGTGTCAGCTGTGTCGGTGAGATGTATATTGTTGGTCGGCCGACAAGTTTTTTTCCCTACGAACTGTGATTTCTTATCCGTTGTGACCATTTCGAGAGTGACTACAACTACAATACTTGTATTTTCTCGAAGTTTCACTTTCCTATAAGTTCAGCTAAAGAAATCAGAGGTTTAACATTTTCGGGGAAACTCAATTCAAACAAGGTTTAAGAATCAAAAACGGTACGACGAATCCTCTTCCTTTCTTTATACTGTGATGGAAGGCCAAAAATTCCGCGCTTCGCGCGGAAGGTGAAACTTCATTTAGACGAGTCGAGAACGGTACAACGAAATCGTCTTCTATCTCTAATAATTTAAGGAAACGTCAAAGCTTCCGCGCTTCGCGCGAAAGTGGGAAACTGAATTCAGACAAATAGGGCTTATTAAAAGTCGAAAACGGTACAACGAATCGTGTTCTTTCTCTAATAATTTGAGGAAACGTCAAGGCTTTCGAGCTTCGCGCGAGAGGGGGAAACTGAATTCAGATGAAAAGGGCTTAATAAGATTAGAAAACGGTACGAGGAATCGTCTTTCTATCTCTATATTGTGATGAAACGCCAAAAATTCCGCGCTTTGCGCGGAAGGGGAAAACTTCATTTAGACGAGTCGAGAACGGTACAACGAATCGCCTTCTTTCTCTAATAATTTAAGGAAACGTCAAAGCGAGAGGGAGAAACTGAATTCAGACAAAATTAATAGGGCTTATTTAGAGTCGAAAACGGTACAACGTATCGTGTTTTTTCTCTAATAATTTGAGGAAACGTCAAAGTTTTCGCGCTTTGCGCGAGAGGGGGAAACTGAATTGAGATGAATAGGGCTTAATAAGAGTCGAAAACAGTACGATGAATCGTCTTCCTTTCTCTATATTGTGATGAAACGCGAAAAATTCCGCGCTTAGCGCGGAAGGGGAAAACTTCATTTAGACAAGTCGAGAACGGTACAACGAATCGTCTTCTTTCTCTAATAATTTAAGGAAACGTCAAAGCTTCCGCGCTTCGCGCGAGAGGGGTAAACTGAATTCAGACAAAATTAATAGGGCTTATTCAGAGTCGAAAACGGTACAACGAATCGTGTTCTTTCTCTAATAATTTAAGGAAACGTCAAAGCTTCCGCACTTCGCGCGAGAGGGGGAAACTGAATTCAGATGAATAGGCCTTATTAAGAGTCGAAAACGGTATGACGAATCGTCTTCTTTCTCTAATAATTTAATGAAACGTTTAAACTTCCGCGCTTCGCGCGGGAGGGGGAAGCTTCATTCAGATAAGGATTAAGAGTCGAGAACAGTACACCGAATCGTCTGCTTTTTCTCATAATTTAATGAAAGGTCAAAGCTTCCGCGCTTTGCACGGGAGGGGGGGGGGAACTGAATTCAGAAAAGGATAAACAGTCGAGAACGGTAGAGCAAATCGTCTTCTTTTTTATAATAATTCAATGAAACGCCAAAGCTTTCGCGCGGGAGGGGGGGGGGGAACTTCATTGAGCCAAGGATTATCAGTCGAAAACGGTATTATATTAATCGTCTTCTTTTCCTAATAATTTAAGGAAACGTCTAAGCTTCCGCGCTTCGCGCGGGAGGCCCATCACCCACACCCCCTTAATGAGCGCGCTTTTAAGTGATTCTCTTGCTCACTACCGCCCCTCCCTAAAATAAGATCCAGCTCCGCGCCTGCATTAAAATGTCTAGCTATGATGCTGACTAAATTGAAGAAATAATTCGTATATTTATGTCGTCGAGGAAAATGACCATTTTGCGCATATGCAAGTACAAGAGATAGTCCATAGGAAAAACAATTTAGCCTTCGGCCCCAGGTTTATAGGGTTGAATTTTTCGATATTGGACATTTAATTTTGTAGGTAATTGGTGGCTAGTTTTGTCGGTAATCGTAAGCCTCTACACCCCCCCACTGAAAAAGGTCTAGCGACGCCCCTGCAACCAACCACGCCCCCATGGCATGCAGAGAACTTGTCTGCCAGACCAAAGGCATATCTAGATATTCATTCATACATTTCAAATGAGAGTAAACTTGGACATATATGTCAGATGGAGGATTTGCATGCATCCACGTACTTCATGAATTCATATAGGCTAGCTGTTTAAAAGATTTCTGATTGAAGACAAAAAATGTTAAGAACATATCGTGCAGACAGTATAAATCAAGCACAGGGTTAAGGATGGTAAAGCCGGAAAAAATAAGGATGAAAAATAGTTAAACACTAATGAAACGGTGTAAGAGCGATCTATACATTCATAAAGTAAGCAACAAGCTCTATAGGATCTCTGGTTGTGTGTGTGTGTGTGTAGGCCGAGCTAGGGGGGGGGGGGGGGGGGCAGATTCCAAAAATTCTCTGACAGGCACAAAACCGGTTGACTTATATCTTAAAAGTTTATTACATCAAGAGTTAAAGGCCATAGCTTAAGGGCTGGAAAATGCCGCCTGGTCAGCATTCCTTGGCCTTGTAGGGGGGGAGGGGGCACGTACAGTTCAACAATTCTCTAACACTGACAGGCACAAAACCAGTTTATTAGGAGACACTTTGATTTCTGTTAAAGTTTATTACTTCAAGAGTTAAAGGCACATATATGTACAAGCAATTAGTTGTCTCAGCAAGAACAGAACAAAACAGGGAAATGCATTATTTACAGTTCAGTTAATTGTGCTGTATTTGAATTATGTAATTGCACTAGATAATAGCTTGATTACTTTATCATGATTTTTCGTTGGGTACTAATCCAGAACTACATTTAAAAAATTTGTGAAAAATAAAGATTACTTCTTTCTTAAAATGTAAAAAAATACACATAAAAAGTGTGACTATCACAGGGACAAATTGTTTGACATTACCTAAATTAGCAAGATTACTTATTCTTTTAACTTTATTTCTTCGCAATAACTTACATGCCTTAATTCTTTTTGTCCCTGTATGAGAAGAATCTGAAGAAGACTTAAATATGTAATGTATAAAAGAATACAATACCTAGTATGTCACGCTGATTAATATTCATTTTGAATAATTAGCATATAGAATTCTGAAATTACACTTTTGAGTACCGGTACCTACTTTTGACCCAAAATAATAAGAGGATCATGCAATCCAAAGTTTAAGCTTTAAAAAGACAATCATTTTTAATATTATAGTTTACTAAAAGAATAGCATTGACCTACCCATACAGATTTATAAATTACTGAAATTAACATTTTGTTTGTTTTTCTATGAATTTCATTTCAATAAAACGAGGATATACGTATATATTGAATTATTGTTCATTATATGATCTCCTCGAGTACATTTTAGTGACCAGTAACTCGCTACACAAATAACACAGCAAAGTGACATAACATAAATTACATCATGTTTATACATACATTGCAATATGACCAATCAGCTTCGCTCATTGGGTTTCATTAAATGAGCTAAAAGTGAGAAAAAGTAACTTTTTTTTAAAGGAAAGGACAATAGGACATCACCTAATTTATTTTCAGTTAGTTTTAAATCTAATGGAAAACATGGGTCCCTTTAAAAAAAATATACAGACAGAAATTATTTCTCTGTCTTTTATTAGACCTGCATATAACACACTGTTATATATATATATATATATATATACCGGTATGTTATATAGTGTACATATATCAACTTTAACTATATAGATCTTGATCTATTGCAAATTTCATGGAAACATGAAAATATGCCTCTTAGGCTTACCTACAAAATGGTAAAGCACAAAGCAAACGATTTATCAAACAAATACAAAAACAAGATGTATACAAAAATATACCCATTAAATGGCAATTTGAAATTTACGGTAATCGAAACAAGAAGATTTGAGCTCCTGTATATTTCAGACTTATTACTCTATCACTTGATAAGTTCTAAACATGGCATATTAAAGAAGTCCTCCTATGAATTCCTCTATAGTACTGTACTTTCAAACAAGTTATGATATTGAAAAATATATGAACTTTGCCACAATACAGAAATGACATTACTAGTCATGAATATTACATAATTGAAACAAAAATGAAAATGAACAAATTATAAGCACAACCCCTCATATGAAAAGAATACGCACACTAATATGAAAGACGGAGGCAAGTTTTTGTCAACAAGACAAAGACATGTATGGACTTCTTTATATTTTCAGTAGAAGTATACAAGATATATAACATTTCATTTATTGAGATCCTACCCTGATACCGAAGATTAGATATATATAATCATAGTTTACAAGTGCTACAGATTATTCACATCAAAGTTTATATTAACCTACACTGTGTAGAAGCAAAACTGGTCAAAAACAGCCAGGAAGAAAACATACAAAATTCACTTTGAGTTATCACACTTAAATTGAAATAATAACTGCATCAAAGAAGTACAACTGGTCATTAACAGCCAGAAATAAAACATACAAAATTTACTTCAAGTTATCACAAAATGAAAGCACTTAAATTTCTCTGGACACCTTCTATTATTCCCAACCTCCTTTAATAGTGGACTGTCATGATGCTTCCATGCTAAAGGCACGTTCAGATTTGACCCAATGAACCCCAAAAAACAAAACACGTTTTTAAAACGTTTAAATGAATGGCAATTAACTGCCACATTAATGGTTCTATAGGCATGTTCACTTGGCTCTGTCTTTATAAGATACAGAAATGTAAAACATATTACACTTTATGCTATCATAACAAAACCGTGTCATATCTGAACGCAGGGGGTTCTTTAATTAGAACACATTTCTAAGCTTCAAAACCCAGGCCCATCGACAAGTCGTCTGAGAGGGATTGAGGAAGGGAAGCATGATATTCATTCCTTGATAGCTCGGTCCCATTTCCCATTTCAGAGGTTGACCGTAACCCAGCATGGTGACATTGGTGTTCTGTTCTGCGATAGGAGCGTCAATGTAAACGGTGTTGTTTTGAGGCCACTTCAGGAGGAAAGCATAGACAGCATCCGATTTCTTGGTCGTGGTATACCTATAAAAACATGAGATGGACATTAAAAAAATGTTTAGTGGCTTTATAATTCTATAACTGTGGCACATTAAATAATACCAATAATATGTGTGTGTAATTGGGTTTTTACAAACGTGTATAAATCAGATAGGATTATTTACGTCTGGGGACCTACCTTTAACGTCACCATCCGAAAACGTAACTCTGTTTCGAACTGGAGTCGCCTGAGCCAGTTTGTAGGCGAAGACAGAGAGGTGACCAAGTAAACGTGCCGCTAGACCAACTCACATCTCCCAATAAAAGTTAATAGTTGCAATTTATATAGCCCCTTTCGCACTGGATAGAAAGCATCCATGGGTTAGCATTCATTTAAAAAAATTATTTGAGGTGTCTAAAAAAATGCAACTACATTTTGATTGGCATCATCTTATAAGTCCTCAGCTAATCTCAATGAAATTTCATAGGGGATATTGTAATAGTATCCCTAACCTCTGTGTTAATTTCACATGGATATAAGTTAAAACTAGAGAGTTATGATCATTTTTTCAAATCAGATGTTACAAAGAGCTAGAGCATGCAGAATAGCATCAGTGCACATATTAAGCGCTTGCCTTTGGCTTCAGCGTGAGCTTACGATCAATGAGTCCCTTCAACCTTTCAGGAAACTGATTGACACCACTCCTAGTAGTATGTGAACGATTCCTATCCTATGCGTTACATCCTGATCGATGGTGATGGTGATGGTGATGGCGATGAAAAATTTTGTGAGTTTTTTCATTCCTTTTACTATCAGCATGGGAAAACATCATAGTAGAAATGTCCCCTAGCTGAAAAGGATTGCTCTTTTAATGCTCTCATAATCGAACTGTGAAACAGAGAAGCAGAAGTATTTGGACCAAACATTAATGCCACTTGTGTGTATGGTCCCATATACCCATTTCTTTGTGGAGTGCAGGTGCTTTACAGCAAGATGGGGTCAATTTGATATTATTTTAATGATTCCAAAACCTCACAGTATACATCAACCCTTCCAAACTGCCCCGAGAGTCAATTTGTTTCTCAAGGTATGTGCACGACCAGAACTCAACTTTGCTTACTAATGACTGGTTGCTTATACAAACAAGCATTTACCTGTATGCTTTCTTGGCAGTCAGGTAAAATAACAATCACTGAACTACAAAAAACTTTATCATTAGGGATAAATCAACTTTCTCACCAGACATCGGGGTTTACTGTATCATTCTGCTTTCTCCATGGGATGGATCCGTACACGCCCTCACCGTTGACCTTTAGCCATGACCCCATCTGACGAAGACGCTCTTCAAAGATGGGTACAATGCGACCATCGTGGGTCGGACCTATGTTGAGAAGAAGGTTACCACCACAGCTGAGGTGAAGAGAAAGGAAATGTTTAAGAGCACTTAAGATCTTATATTTCTAATAATCACCATGATTTTGATCATTCATCTGGCGTTCATTGAGCCACATGAAAAGTCTACCAGACTCTATATATAACTTCTGAATTTTAAGATAAAAAAAACCTGCTGCGGTTTATTACGGGATATCTGAAAGAAGCTTTATCTGGGTTAGATGACATGTGTTGATGCCTGTCTGGCTCTCATGGATTTCCTGAGTTACCAGATTGCCAAACTTGTACATTATTGAAGAACATCAACAAATACTGACGTACTAAAGCTCTGCATCTTGCACTCACCAGAGTTAATTGCAATAATGAACATAAAGGTGAAATCAGACAGTGCATGTAAACGGCTATCGTTACATCTATTTCCCACAGCCAATCACAGTCCTTAATTTGTTGCGCCCTTTGTTCCTTCAGCTTCCACTTATATTATTTGATTTCGGCTTCCTGTTCATTCTTGCGATTTACTCTGATGAGTGTAAGGCGAAAAGCTTGTAAGTATGTCTGTAATTAATTTGTTGCTATTTTTCGATTTGGTAGTACCTTACATCTCTTTATACCTTATTGTCCTGACAAGCTTCTGGATCAGACCATGGATATCAAAGATGCCACTCAATGGAGTCGTTCGCACATATCCCCATGAGCGCATGTCCACCGTCATGGCATTCTCCCACTTATGACTTTGCAGTTTCTCTAAAAAATAAAGAAAAAAATAATTCCAATGGTATAACATAACAAGACAAATGCGACTGCTTCTCCTATATGCCTCCTCCTTAAATTCAGTATAGGAAATGTTCTTGATGCTCAAGCACATAGTATACATGTAGTTTTGAAAGGTCAATCAGGTTCAAGAATAACTTGATTTCAAAATAAGTAGAACAAATCTGATAAACAAATAGATAAAGTGTTGAGCAAAATCAGACAACTGATACAAGAATTTTTTAATGGCAAGAAAAACAATGGGAATTTATACGTGAGGGGGAGGATTGCACAATACCACAACATTATTGCCATACTTCCTCTCCAACAAAACCCCCAAATTGCGCTGATGCCTCCCCAATATGGATGATGACAGAGGAAAATCGCTTGGCAATTGCACATCGGCAATGTTTTCCTACTGAAAACGATCTTACTACCTACTTGGATCATATCTGTCACCGCACGTATAAAATCCTCCATGATTGCAAGAAGAGCCAGGCCAATACCAACGATCATTCACCACTACATGATCCTTAACAGGGCTGGAAAAAAAAGTAAAAATATAAAGGTTTGCGTGGTTAATACTTTCTTCACCTCTCTGCTTGTTTGCCACACATGTAATTTTACACAAAAAACAATATAGTCACCAAATGGTGGACAGATTATTTTGTTCCACTCAATGGCTCAACCAAATTACTTACTCATTTCAGGTTTTGATTATCTCTATTAGCTTGTAACGAGGGTATAGATTAAAGAGAAGGTTGAGTTCTGGGAAGAGGTGAAAAAATAATTTGTGAGCGTTATCATTCTTATTATGCAAGTGTGGAAGAACATCAGATAAGACATGTTCCCTGAAAAGCATGGCTCTTCAAATGCCTTCATATTCTAAATATGTCATGTAACATTGTAAAACTCGGGGGAGGGGGAGGGGGGAGGGTAGGATTTTTACGCCACGTGTTCGTGTAGTCCCATATACATCTTTCTAACTTTACCAAGACTTGGCCAAATTTCTTATCATTTTGATGATTCCAGAACCTTGCAATACACATAAATTCTTATATGCTAGATGATCAACCTTTTCTGGTCGATTCCACACCGTTTCTTTCACAATGCAATCGCATGACTAGAACTCAACTTCATCTTTAATCTCGCACCGGAAGCAGTTCATAATGAATCTTGAGGCCTTTGGTATAATATTTATCCCATGATAAATACAAATGTTGCACAGGGAGATGATTTGTGTAGCATATAAAGAGTTAATTAATAACGTGTATGGCAGGAGAAGCGGGCTTTTTGCATAGGATGCCAGTCATAAACAATGAAAATATGCAAGTTTAGAAAATAGACAAAAAATAGTTTACAAATTTGTATCATGTCATAAAAAATTCAAGTGCAAAAAATAGGAAGAAAATAGTACTCGCAAATAGGTAAAAAGAAGTCTGAAAAAGATAAAGGTGAAAAAATAGGGAAAAAATAGTCTGAAAAAGATGAAGATGAACAAAAAGGGAAAAAATAGTTTTGAAGTCGAAAAGAGAAAAAAATAATCCTATTTTTTTCATATTTTCTTGGAGAAAATAGGGAAAAAATTGTCTGAAAAGGTTGACAGTAAAAAAGTAGGAAAAAAATAGTTTCAAACTCAAAAAAAAAAAAAAAAAAAAAATCACTATTTTTTTCCTATTTTCTTATAAAAAAATAGTACAAAAAAGTTGAAGGTGAAAAAAATGGGGAAAAAATAGTTTGTGCTTGAAATTTTTTTTCCTATTTTCTTATCGGAAATAGGAAAAAAATAGTCTGAATTTCCAGAAAATAGGAAAAAAATATATTTTTGCAACACACAAAACTACTAGGGGTTACATCTTCTTATCCTCATTAAAAAAATATCACTTTTACTTCCTAAACATTAAATATACAGCCCCCTGTACCCCAAGGACCTCGGCCACAAAGTGACATGATATGAAACTTTATAGATGGATAGAGCATATTATATGAATATATAAGCCCATAAAAGTCAAATACCATTATCTCTTCAGAGAGTGTCTTGACAATACAATATCATATTACCCCGACTTTAGAGATAGGCAAATGTAAATTAGTTTCTTGCCAAAGGACGATAGTGCTGTGGCTTGTTGTCTTGTGATTCTTAAGGTTTGTTCATATATGGCACTGTAGCAAAAACAGCCGTCAGGTTTTTTTAAACATGTAAATGAAAGACAACTTTGCGTAACAAAGGATATGCGCATATTCACTGAGCCCTGTGTTATAAGATACGGAAATGTGAACCGTATCTGTCATCATTGAAAAAGAAACGCTGTTGTTTCACAGCATCATGTCTAAACATGCATTTAGTTTGGTGACTATATCTTGACGGGGTCTATTCGCTATTCATAAGGACCACTATTTATAACGTGCAACTTCCCGTACCTGCGAGTCCGCTATTCGAAATGGGAGAAGAGGGTCACTATTCCTAAAAAAAAAAGGACCGCTATTCATAACATGGGATAAGGGTCGCTATTCATAATTCAAATTGAGGGTCATTACTCATAAGGACAGCTATCCATAATATTGAGGTCGAAATGAGGGTCGATCGCTATTCATAATAGGAGAAGAGGGTCGCTATTCAAAATATGAAATGAGGGTCGCTATTCATAATTGGAGTAGAGGGTCGCTATTCATAATACGAAATGGGGTCTGTATTCATAATAGGAGCAGAGGGTCGTTTTTCATAATATGAAACGAGGGTCGCTATTCATAAAACGAGAAGGGGTCGATATTCGTAATACGAGAGGATCTCTATTCATACAACAAGAAGAGGGTCGCTAATCATGATACAAAATGAGGGTCGCTATTCATAAAACGAGAAGGTCGCTTTTGATAACACGAAATGAGGCTCGCTATTCATAATAAGAGTAGGGGTTGCTATTCATAATACAAAATGAGGGTCGCTATTCATACAATGAAAAGAGGGTAACTATTCTTAATACGAAATGGTCTCTATTCATAATACAAGGAGAGGGTCGCTATTCATAATAGGAGTAGAGGGTGGCTATTCATAATACGAAATGAGGGTCAGTATTCATGATAGGAGCAGAGGGTCGCTATTCATAAAACGAGAAGGGGGTTGCTATTCATAATCTGAAATGAGGGTCGCTATTCGTAATACGAGGTGAGGGTCGCTATTCATGAAACGACAAGAGGGATGCTTTTCATCATACAAAATGAGGGTCGCTATTCATAATAGGAGCAAAGGGTCGCTATTCCTAATACAAAATGAGGGTCGCTATTCCTAATACAAGGAGAGGGTCGGTATTCATTATATGAGATGAGGGTTGCTATCCATAAAACGAGAAGGGGATCGCTATTCATAATACGAAATGACTCAAATGAGGGTATCTATTCATAAAACTAGAAGAGGGTGGCTATCCATGAAACTAGAAGAGGGTCGCTATTCATTAAACAACAAAAGGGTCGCTATTCATAAACGAGCAGAGGGTCGCTATTCATAATACAAGGAGAGGGTTGCTATTCATAATATGAGACGAGGGTGGCTATTCATAATAGGAGGTGAGGGTTGGTATTCATAATAGGAGCAGAGGGTCGCTATTCATAATACAAGGAGAGGGTTGCTATTCATAATATGAGACGAGGGTGGCTAATCATAAAACTAGAAGAGGGTCGCTATTCATTAAACAACAAGAGGGTGGCTGTTCATGAAACTAGAAGAGGGTCGCTATTCATAATACAAGGAGAGGGTTGCTATTCATAATATGAGATGAGGGTGGCTATTCATGAAACGAGAAGGGGATCGCTATTCATAATACGAATTGAGGGTCGCTATTCATAAAACTAGAAGAGGGCCGTTATTCATAAAACAAAATGAGGGGTCGCTATTCATAGTACAAGAGGGTCGGTATTCATGAAACTAGAAGAGGGTCGCTATTCATAATACAAGGAGAGGGTTGCTATTCATAATATTAGACGAGGGTTGCTATTCATAATACGGCAAGAGGGCCGCTTTTCATAATACTAGAAAAGGGTCCCTATAATATGAGGAGAGGGTCGCTATTCATAATACGAGGAGAGGGTCGCTATTCATAATATAGTGTGGTACGGTATGTCACTGAGAAAGCTCCCGTAGGACTTTTGTGCCAAAATTGATTTTTTGGCATTTTTGGATTGATTGGGGTCCAAGCTATCAGAAATTGATGGGGTTCAAATTTTCCCGACCCTCAACCCCTCTCTGGGGGGGGGGGGGGGGGGGTAGTTTCCTATCACGAGACCCCCTAAAATTGGGTGTGTCATTCATCTAATGACTAGTTTCACAAAACTTGAGTTGTTTTCTAGAACTATATCCCTCAACACCGAGAAAGGTAATTTGAAGACTTTCAGTTAGATAAACCCTCCAACCAACCCATCCCCATCCCTACCCCACCCCCGTCAGCCCAATTTGCGTACCTTTGCCATTGTTCGGCCAGCTGTTTTAAGGTGTAGTACTTTTATTACCATTATCATATATATTTACTAGCCCATTTCCAAACACAAAGAGACAGAAACAAACATACAGACAACCTTCATGTATACACATCTACCTCCCCCCCCACACACACACGCACGCACACGCACGCGCGTGCACACACGCACACCCTTCCTTCCACACGCACATACTCACACACACACCCAAACATTCACAGGCAAGTGCACTCGCGCGCACACAGCGCGCACACATTCCTACATAATATTATGCTGCTCTGTGATCATTGTTTCCAGCTCTTCTGTGGTAAAAGTTGTTTTGTTCCTTGGTCTTCACAAGTTTGACAGAATAAAACCCCCTCTTTTGCAATATATTGCCTGATTTTCCAAGGTAAGCATAAACATATAGCCAATTGCAAATCTCGATTTTAAAATTTTATGTGATGTGGGTCTTCATTATCGGTTAGAGAAGAAGAAAATAAATTGCAAAAACAAGAGAAAACTTTATTACTCTTGATCAATCAATCAACTTAGATGGTTAAATTGACAAATTGGTAAACATTGTATGCATTGATATATATATATATATATATATATATATATAAGATCATGGACCTATTACGGAAGGACATTCAACGTTATTCTTTCTTTGATCCAATGAGATCCACCGCCTTCTGATTATGTGCATCTTAATGAGAACATTCAGCTGTTTTAACAATACGACTGCTCAAGCATTTTCGGTTACTAACAAAGGAGCAGTATCCCTCTCTTGGGTTTTGTCTTCCTGATTTTGTCAAGAAGGGTGTGAACATCTGGTTTACCATTGACAACATTGATCTCTTGGAAGACACACCCACAGGGCAAGGAACCTTTCACGGGACAGTGGTAATCAACCAACAGGCTGTAGATGGAGAGCCAGTGAATCAACCACGTGTTATACCCGAGAAACTTTCTTCGCAAGGCCTTCTAGCATTTGAGATGAATGTGCTTCCAGAGCCAGACATCAGAACTAGCCCACTGAGATTTCAGGCCTACAAGAAGAGGAAACAAAATCTCATTTCTCAAGAATTCACTCATACCTGGGCTCTTGTGTACTACCTTACAACAGATGACAACGGAGAAATCATCCGAACTGAACCTCAGCTGCATGATGAAGAAGCCCAGCGCAGTGAAGAGATGCCAAGTGATGCAGAGTCTACAAATGACCCTTCTAGCAAGAAGGAGGAAGCTGGGTCTTCAAAGGACAGAGAGGAAACAAACTCTGTCGTGATCATCAAAAAGCAGGTGAAGAAATCAGATAAACTAGCAAAGAATGATGTTCTTCCAACATGGGCTGCAACTACATGTAGGTCCTTATTGTTGTCTCAATCCTCTCCCGCTAGCACGCCTACAAACACAGCGGTGGTTGCCCCATTATTCAAGACATCGCCAACTGATTATGGGACCCTCTATACTGTTCTTCGGTTATCCCACGGAATATCTGCGACTGTTGTTGGCCCTCACAGAAAGACATTGATAACGCTAGATCTCGATCTTTACTCCCGAGCGTTGAAGATTCAGCAGTCGGTGGGAAACGCCAACTGTATCTTAAGAGCTGGAGCTCTCCACATTGCTTTCGCTGCCTTACATGCTCTTGGCAAAACCATCGATGGTAGCAGTCTTGGCACGTGTGCTATCGAATGTGGTGCGTACACCTCAGCATCTCTTCGCAGGATCTTTGGTGGTAAAGCTTATAAGCGTGGCCTTGAATTCCACATTACTGCAAGCCTTGCAATCATAATGTTGCGTTTTGATGCCATACTATCGGATCTTCCCAAGGGTCCAATTCGCATCCAGTGCAATTCTCTCAAAGAAAAACTTCATGGACATGACCCGGAGATGGTGGAGATCTATGAAGAAATCCAATCCTGGTACTCAAGCAATGTCAAACCGCTTGAAGAAGCTGAAGACCTTGGAAAGTTTGCCCAGTTCTTGACCCGGTATCTTAACCAGGTGGAGAGTCTTCAACATCTCATTAGTTCATGTCGATCAGGGGACTGGGAGGGCTACTTGTCATCACTAGAAGACCTCACCAAGTACTTTTTGCTCGTGATCTCCTGAAATATGCTCGCCAGATGCCAGTCCATCTCGCTCAAATGAATGCCCTAGAATAGGATGATCCAGAAACATGGAATGCCCTCAAGTCTGGAGACTTTGTGGTGGCAAAGTCAGAGATACCCTTTTCTCTTCTCTTCACTGATCAGGATCTAGAGCAAGAAATCAAGAAACTAAAGGGAATGGTGGGATGGTTGGACTCACAAGAAATGAAGCCGCTCTGGACCGACTAGTCACTACCACACCTCACCTTGCTGCTCTGGTAAATCATTACCTCAATGACTTCCCAAAAGCTACTGGAGCTTCGGTGAGGAAGGAGCATCATCAGCTCTCAGGAGACATTGCAGTGAGGTCAAAGAAGAATGCTATGAAACTACGCCACCTAATCGAGCTGCACGGCGGAGTCAATCCTTTCAAGGAGAAGACACAATTGAAGAGTCTGGTTTCATCGGCACTTGTGTCAAATGAGGCAAAAAGTGACATTCTCCACTTTGCAGAAAAGGGCCAGAAGCGCTTTGAGGAGTTTGTATCTGATCGTTTGCTTTCATCATCAACCCTCTCGGTGTGGGACAAAATGAAGAAACTGAAGCTGAAATCCTTTTCGAAATGGATGGAGAAAAGGAAAGTGCGTGTTGAAGACAAGGTCATCAAGTTGCGGGAGGAACGTGAATTGCTGGGAAGATTCCTTATCATCCAAGGCAGCCGCCCAAGCTTAGTTCCTAAACTTGCGGAAACAATAGGTGAATATGAAATGTCAGTGGTTCCCCGTTCACTATGTGCTGTCGATGGTTCTTTGTACATCCCAACAGACAAAGCAAGTCTGATGCATGCAGTTGAAGATGCAAAGGCAGAACCTCCCGATGTTGTAAAACAGCCTGATGTCGTGGAGGATAATCATATTCAACTTCCCCACAGGTTGAAATGAAGCAGGAAGAGGTTCCGGTTACCGTAGAATATGAGATAACGCAGGTTCCTTATGGAGCAGCCCAAAAACCTAATTAACCTCTTGCATGATCTTCCTGTCAAGGTGCTGATAATTGACGTCATGGGTGTACTTCAAGGCATGAAAAAGACACTAGCTGCCATGCAAAATATGTCAGACCTGCAGAATGCATTCAACAGGCGCATCGAAGGGATGATGGCTAGCTATGATGAAGGTCGAGTTGTGTTTGATCGATATATGGAAGAGTCATTAAAGAACAAGACTCGACAAAAGAGGGCAACTACATCAGTAGAATACGAGATACACCCAGAAATGAAGCTCACAATGTCCATCAAGGAGCTTCTATCTTCATCGTCAACCAAGAAAAAGCTGACGTGCCTGTTAGGTCAGGGGCTGCTTGATAACTTTTCACAGAACACGGACAGCCCTTTCAAGCTAGTAGTTGTGTATGATACCTTCATCAAGGGACATGATTTGGAGGAGGCGCACACACATGAAGAGGCTGATACCCTGATTCATAATCAAGTCCTTGCCTCTACTGCTAGTGGTGCCTTGCAAGAAATTACTGTCTGGTCCCCTGACACTGATGTCCTCCTTTTCTTAATTCATCTAGTATCTTGTGGAAACAATGCAGTGCCCACTTCTCTACAATTTTCTACAGGCAAGGGTACAAACGAGAAATAGATGTGCTGGAGTGGGTTCAAGTCATTGGACATCAAAAATGTCAAGGTCTCCTTGGACTTCACAATTTTTCTGGTGCTGACTGGGGAGGAAGTTTGTTGGGATATCCAAGAAGACATGGATCAATGCCTACTTAAAGCTTGATGATGATGATCCTGCCATTATCTGCTTCAAAGAACTGGGCGAGGGTTCCATTCCAACTGAGCTTAGCAATGGAGAGCTTCCAACACAGGTGTAGGCACTAGAGCATTTCATATGTCGTTTTTTACTGTTCATCAGGTCCAACAACCCTACCATCACTCAGATGGGAACTGTTCCGATCAAAGAACCTGGAAGGTGAGATGTTACCTCCAACTCGTGCCGCATTACTACCTCACATCCTCCGTGCTAATTACATCACGATGAGAGATAAATCATACAAGACTAACTACCCAGTGCTTTCTCCTATCGAAGAGAATGGATGGTATTCAGATAATCGAGGATGTCTTCCAGTCAAGTGTCTTGGGCTCCCTGCACCACGGGCAGTACTTGAACTCATCAAATGTGGCTGCAAAGCAGGATGCAAGGGACGGTGTAGCTGCTCCAACAACGATTTGCCCTGCACTCCTCTATGTAAATGCTATAGTGGAGACTGTGAAAACCGGACAAGGGAGGATGCTCCAGATAGTGACAGCGATTGACTTTTACTGGAAGTCTGATGAACTTTCCTGTTGTCATGGTAACCACGAAGTAGGTGGTTACCCCTTTCCCGATTTTATTTTATGTTTTGTTTATAACTGGAAAATGTTTCCAAATAATTTTTTGATTTAGATCAAGATTGTGTCATGTACAAGTATTTCGGACCAAAATAGCTCAACTTGTTTCTGTTGTTTTTTTTCTTCTTCGGGGGGGGGGGGGGGGGGACCATATCAACAAAACAAAATGCACATTTTCGTATTATTGTGCATTTGAAAAAAAATATTACATATATAATTTGTCAACTTTCTGATTGACTGATGCAATTACAATGCCTAGAAGATGATATTTGAGAATTTTGTTATATTATCATCTGAAGGTGTTTGGCGCCATCTGGTGTTTAAGTAAGTTATTCATTTGATAGAATACTAAAAAAGGGTTGATTTTTTATATTAACAGCCTAAAATAACAGTGTTAATGACATGTGGTATGTTTCACAATTATTCCACTCTATAATAATACACAACAATGCCATTTCCACTTATTATTTCAAAATTCTAGCCCAAAAGAAAGAAGAAGGGCACATTTTTAGGAAATATTTCCCAGTTTTTCACAATTTTTCGCAAATTGCGCCCCCATAACGTCAAAGTGAAAAAGTTTTTTATGACACAATATCATTAAAAATGAATCCTTATATACCTCAAACAACTTCACAGTGAAATTGGCGAAAAAATATATGAATTAGGGTGGAAGACACCAGATTTCCCTATTGCGCTTTATATATGCAATTTTGGCGCCCAAAATGGACCCCCCAGGAAGTGAAGGAGGGGTCTGAAAATTTGAACCCCATCATTTTTGGCCAATTGGGACCCTTTTGAAGCCAAAACAGCAAAAAATTCAATTTTGGCAAAAAAATCCTACGGGATTACATACCATACCGCACTAATACGAGAGGGTCGCTTTTCATAATACGCGGAGGGTCGCTATTTATAAAAGAAGATGGTCATTTTTCATAACACGACAAGAGGGTCGCTATTAATAATACGATACGGTAATACAATATTTTGTATTATGTATAGCGACCCTCTCTAGTATTATAAATAGGGACCCATGTGAATAACGACCCGATTTTGTATTATGAATAGTGACCCTCTTCTCATATTATGAATACCGACCCTCTTCTTTCACTATGAATAGCGGTCCTCATGAATAGTGACCCTTATGAATAATGACCCTTTTCTCAAATTATGAATATCGGTCCTAATGAATAGCGGACCTCATGAATAGCGGTCCTTATATCAAAAACAGAAAATTGGCCATCAAAAGTGGTCTCTAAGCACATTCTCAAACAGCAAACCTTTCATTGTAGAGCCAGGCAAGAAACTCTGTACTGTTCCAGTAAGAGTCAGGACCATGAGCCCCATCTGCCCAGACGATATCCGGCTTGTAGCTGTTGACAATATCCATTATCTGTGGCATCATAACTTGCTGCAATGAGAATTTGACGAAGCAAATATGTTGGGACATAAATTTGTAGTATATCTGCATCATAAAACACAAATGTAGTTATATACTCACTAATATTAAAGGTATTACAAAGTTTTGAAAAATGGGTGGAAAGTGATTCTTTACAATTTTGATATATTTGGATGCCCCTGTGGATGTATTAAAAACACCAGAAATTTTAGCACCTAAAACACTTCTATTTTCGAGAAAAATTGAATATAAAGATTTACCGGTGCTCCCGGTAAATTTTGATAAATTTCAAATAGCTCCTACGGCCGTACAATGGTAGCTGCGGCCATGAAAATCTCAGAGTATGTAGTTGTGGTATATCATTTCCGAATGAGAATAGCTAATCGGTCGATTTTAGTCAATAAACATTGTTTTATAGCTTAATTAATATCTTGACCTTGAGAGGGAGCTATTCAACATAAAGTGTTTATTATTTACAATTTCATAACTTTAGAGTCGATTTCGAGCGCGACAACGATCAGTGAATATTGTAGGATCGTATATGCTTCCAATATGTTAATTTGAACCAAATTCATGACCCCATACCAAAACTTTGTATTACCTTTAAGCAATCCTTCTAGTTAGTAGTTATTATAAAATTGGTTCTAAAATAAATGACACCATGTGACAGTGCACAATATTTTACTACCACGCTTGCTTTGCAAAGAAAGGTCCCATCAAAAAGTGATAACACAAAACTAAGGTGCGCGTATGCGTATATCTAAAGCATACACCATACATGATGAAATGCATCCAGTTTCAAATGGAAAGGACATTGATTTGCGTGCTGAGACGCTCATAACACTTGGCTGCACTTATACTGTGATGTCATTTAAAGCAAATGGCGGCCCACATGACTGTGCGATTTGTGGCATTTTGATCGTGGGTTTGTTTCTTGCTTTATATTTATATTGTCAACCTGTTTTATTAACAAAAAAAATAAAAAATAAAAAAAATCTGTTTTTTGAAGCTTGTGCATTAGTAATTTTCACTGCACTTGGTTGAGTCACGATGAGCCTGCAATGATAATCAACTCAACAAATCTGGTTCATCATCCCATTGTGACTTTAACGCAGTGGCGGATCCAGGCCTTTCTAGCACCCCCCCCCCCCCCCTCGGAAAAAATATGTAAAAACACGTTAATTTTACTTTTTTGGGGAGTTGGGCCCCCCTCCTGGCGCTCAAGGGGGGGGGTGCAAATTTTTGAGGGCCAAAAAAAAAAAAAAAAAAAATATTGCTCACTAACTTACTCATGAATTATCAAGGCTGCACAATGTTCTGTTGATTCACTCAATATGCACTGATCCCATTGCTGGAGCTATACCAGTGATCGAGGCTCAAATGTCAGTGGTCGCAAATGCAACAACATTCTTACCCCGGGCCCGACGAAGCCGATAGACCCTTGGACCAAAATTGTGTGCATAACTGCTCAAACTCGAATATGTAATGTGCTGATGAAATTATAAATCAAGATTGGTGTATATAAACTTACATCTCTGTACACTTTTGTTTGAAAGCCATTTGCCTCATCTTTCAGAAAAAGGGGATGAAACCACTCATAGAGAGAGTAGTACAAGCCAAAATGAATCTTTGTTCTGCTGCGCACGGCTGCTGCCAATTCACCTGTAAAAATAAGAATGTCTTTCTATTTAGAAAACCACTGGATCAGCGCTCAAAATATACGGGGGCGGTGGGCGATTTGCCCCCGTGAGCTACAAAATCGCCCCCGTCAGGTTGCTCACGGGGGCGATTGCAAAATTAAAAATCGCCCCGGTGGAATTATAAAATAAAGATAATCTTTTCTGTTATAACTTTAACACAATATTGAGTTTCAATTTTCAAACCTTAAACCAATGAAATGGAACTAAGATTAGCGTGCAAGATTTCTCGTTTTATGAGTAGGCCTATTATTACCGATTCAGCTCGCAGTGCAGTGCCGCCGTCAGCAGTGGTTATAGGCCTACTGTGCCGTTAGTAGCGGTGCGTGTGCACGCTGCCGCGCCATGTCTGCTGGAGCTGGAGGCGATCGGGCAAGGGCAGAAACATGGTCATGGCCTGGAGAAGTTTTTCGTTGTCAGCAAATAATGAACCTCGACCAGTAAATCAATATTAGGGACTTTTAGATTTGCACGATGAGAACGTGGACTGCAACGTGTGACCTCCTTTTAAGGCACTGCCAGTGCTTAAAAGGACGTCACATGTGATTGCCAGTGCCTTAAAAGGACGTAACACGTCCACGCAAATCTAAAAGTCCCTTTTGAGGAGAAGAGGAAGACCAAAATGTTGTGGAATCAGGGGCGGCGATTTCTGTTAATGACCGGGGGGACGAAATGCGAATTTTTTTTACAAGGATTTCATGCGAGGGAGCGTAGCGACCGAGCGAGATTTTTTTTGCAATTTTATTAGTCTAAACGCTGCACTCTTGGGCCTTCCAGAGCCTAAAAGTGTGTTGCAGTCATTATTCAGTATATGCTATACAATTTGTTTTGCACTTTTTCAAATTTCCAGGGCGGAAGATCCCCCCCCCCTAAAAAAATTGAGGGGGGACGTGTCCCCCCCCCCGTCCCCCCGGGATCGCCGCCCCTGCGTGGAATGATATGATAACATGGGCAGATCTACAGCGGGGGGGGGGGGGGGGGGGGGGGGGATTCTGAAGAGGAGGACTACTAATCTATTTTATTTTTTTCAGGGGGCGGGGGAAGTGAAGCGCCGTTTTAGCATGACTTTCTTTTTAACTCTTACTTTCACCTATCTCAGATAACCCTAAGTTTTTGGTTTCTGCTTTATATGTAGTTGATAATGCATGATTAAAATAAAGAGAGAGAGAGAGAGAACCACCATCATTTTGCAATGGTTCAGGGTTCGTGTAATGTACATTTGAAACCATTTCTTAGCGTCTCAATCCTAAAAAAATAGCAAAACTATTTTTGAGGAAAAGCATTATACTGAATTAAATAAAGAATAAAAGCTTTATATTGGATCATACTAATACTAATACGGGCTAAAGACAATGTGGTATTTGTATAGAGGTATTCCAAAATGACATTCTGATAATCAACATTTGTTCTGGTATCATATGTATATACGCATAATACAACTGATCTTTATGATTTCTTAACGTGACATAGCTTCTTCTCCCTCTGCAAACAAAACAGAAAACAAGGTTATTCAATAAAAGGACCATGCGACAAATAATCATTGTGATTCAAATTGATGCAAGGATGTTTTTGAATATGCAATGCTTTTCACCAGAATCTTCTTTGTAAAAACGACTTTTACAAATCTCAGCAATGCAATTCTGCCACTGTGCTGTAAGATCACTTTGAGATTAGGAGAAGTGTATTATATAATGGGTATTTTAAATTGAATGGAACGTCTCAACTCAGTAAGCATGGCTGAGATTTGTAAAAGTTGTTTTTACAAAAATGATTCGGGTGAATAATAGTGCTTATTCAAACAAATATTCGCATCAATTTGAATCACAATTATTATTTGTCGCTTAATCCCTCTTAATGACCATGTTTTCTTTTTCGTTTGCAAGGGGAGAAGAAGATATGTCACGTTAAAGACATCATAAAGATCAGTGTTGTATGCGTATATATTATATACACAGGCCAGTAACAGCTATGTAGCTTGTAAATTTGTAAGAGGGAAAATGCTGATTGAAATGATAATGATGAAATAGCAAATAATTGAGGAGTATCATAGGTACCAATTCAATGGATATTTGTATAAAAAAGAGCCCCCGTCAGTAATAAAAGAGCCCCCGTGAGAAGGCTCACGGGGGCTCTTTTTTGGGGGGAAGAGCCCCCGTGGACAAAAAATTAATTTGAGCCCTGCACTGGATCAAGCAAGCATTGGTATAAGTTAAACCATGAATGAAATACCATCATAAAACAACATAAAATTAAATATATCCAAGTATCAATACACACATCACACTCTTAAGGAGAAACTGGAAAACTACTTTTTTTAGTTTGCCTGGTCTAATCAATTGTCTTCAACTAATTGTAATGTTACCTCATTCCTTTCTTGAATAGTGTTGTGCATTTCTTGTTCATGTAAAGGAATTTAAATCAAATATTTAATTGCTACTGTTTGGAATTTACGGAAGTATTTCACTTAAAGGAATCATGTTTCAGATTGCAAATGCCTTCAAAGTGCATGGTTATTGCTCTTATTCTTTATTATGACATTTCTAGTGCCCTTTTAGAACCTTAAATTGCTATGAAGGTAATAATAGACCCCAAAATGTGTGAATACGATCGTACCAATTCAGCTCCACTTTTTAAAAAATATGGTGACCGTTAATTAATCAATTAATTAATGATAATACACAGGCCGGCTGGTTGTGCGTATTATAACCAACACGAAAAAGCCAACAAAAAGCCAATATTGGCATTGGCTGGAATAAAACGTATAAGACGGTATCTCGTGTTTCAACGGCTGGTTCAAATTACGGATTATTTGTGGGGCACCATGTACAAATATTAGAAATGGTTATATTTATGGATAGTTCAGCCGTCTCTGCATCGATTTTGATCAAACAAAGATGATTTTGTCATTCAAATTGTATATTCTTTTAAATTTGACACTCAGTTTTTCGTTATCTCACCTAAGAAATGCATTGTGTAGCGCCCTCTGCAACAAAACTCAACAATCCCTTTAACGGCACAAAAGAAATATAGTCTATGAGCTCTTCATTTTATAAAAGGTTAACACATTACCAATTCCAGAAATTATGGCAGATTCTTATCCAAATTATATAATATCATATCTTACCGACCAGATCCCTCTTAGGACCAACGTCCTTTGCATTCCAGTTCCATGAGACATTGGATGGCCACATGGTGAAGCCCTCATGATGTTTGGAAGTCAAAACAACATAACTGTGGAAAAAAAATTAGTAATGAAAGAAATTTTATTCCAGTATATCATTCTCAAAACAAGAGTGAGAAAAATATAACTTGTGTGAAAGTTTCATAATCCTTCATCTTATGTAGCATTTTGATATAAATTATGGTACTACACACATAAAAAAGAAATGGGCCGTTGCAAGAAAGTTTAGTTGCAGTACATCGATAGCAAATATCGGTTGCAAATTTTGCAACTTGCAATCAATCGCAACTTTCTTGCAAACCCCATTAGTCTATGTCTGGTCCCTAAAATTTTGAAAATCTTACAGAAGCTCAAGCTTACTGACATGAGTGTTATACAAGAACGCCGCCTCCTCCTCCTCTTCCTCTTCCTCCTCCTTCTTCATCTTCCCTATATTACAAATATTATGGGTTAACCTACTTTGCTCCAGAGGCTTCCAGGATGTCGGCCCAAGCATTGGGGTCAAAGAACTCTGCCGTGAACATGGGTCCAAAATCAGCATACGTGAAACCAGGCCGGAAGTTCTCTTTCATGAAGTTGACGACAGATGGATAGGGAGGGTCTCCTTGCCAACGATCCCAAAACCATTCACTGAAGAAACTTGGAACGGAGTAGACGCCCCAATGCATGAAGATTCCAAACTTGGCTTCATCATACCTACATAATATAGGCCAGAATTTAATTGATTTACATCAGAAGAAAAGAATCTTTAAAATGATATCTCCAATCAATTAACAGTTGGGATGTTGTAAAATGTGTTTTTTTAATCTTTATTCCACACATAAAAATGCATTATGATTGACAATTTTCCAGAATTTAAGCTGATTTTTAAATGCTGTGATAACTAAACAAGCAGGAAAAAGAGTCATGTCGGAAATAAAACTGCTCTTTCATCAAAATCAAGTAACAAGTATATCTTTAAAAGTACTGAGGAAAAAAAAATCATAGGTCTGCTAATTTTTATAATATATAGTGTACATGTAGTCTTCAAAACCTAAATAAACTTGATAACTTTCTTTTTATGTTTTTTCTCCAACTTCCACTGACCTATCTTAAGATTTTTTCTGCATCAATTCAAATAATATTGATGATTGGCAGGATGGACTTCCCTTTAGAATTCAGTACCGTAAGTATAAGGCTGAGCTGACTGCACAATAACAGCCACTAAGACTGACACAAACTAATTACCTACCAAGCAGGGAGAGGTCTTGAGTCGATGGAATCCCAGTTGGACTGGTACTGACAGGAACCCAGAAGGGGTAACATCAAGCAGGCTAGGATCAAAAGAATTCTCATCTTTTCAACCTATTCCTGACTCTGAACAATCAGGGCTGGATTTGACTGAATCTCTTATTTCACTTCTTCCAGGTCACTGTGTAATATACAATCACAAAAGACCATCGTTAAAGGTATTAAATACAAAGTTTTGGGAAATTTTAAAAATTAGGTGGATAGGTCTAGTGATTCTTTACAATTTTGATGTTTGGATGCCCCTGTGGATGTTTTATAAGCACTAGAAAACGTAGCCCCTAAAACACTTCTGCTTTCGAGAAAATTGGAATCTAAAAATTTACCGGTACTCCCAGTAAATTTTGATAAATTTCAAATGGCGCCTACATCCGTACACTCCCTGAAAATCTCAGAATAGGTCTATGTAGTTGTGATATACAATTACCAAAGGGAATAGCTAATACTAATATGTCGATTTTAGTCAAGAAACATTGTTTTATAGCTTAATTAATATCTTGCCCTTGAGAGGGAGCTATATACAACATAAAAAGTTTATTAGACCCTATTTACAATTTTATGCATTTAGACTTGATTTCAACCGCGACAACGATCACTGAATATTGTAGGATCGCATATGCTTCCAATATGTTCACTTGAACCAAATTCACGACGGTCCCCTACCAAAACTTTGTATTACTTACCTTTAATCGGATGTCATTCAAATCAAGATTCACCACAAATCCTCATAAATACATCCATACAGATGTCTTCATGCAGTAATCTAGAGTTATCCGAGCACAAAAAAATTAAAGCACTTGATAACCAATATAGAAAGTTGCATTGCCATTTGGCATAGTCTATGTTGACGATGTGGACTCTGTAAGACTAAGAGGACACATTTTTAAATTATTTTTTTGGTCTCAAAAATTAAAGCGTTTTTTTTTTTTAATTGAAAATTTGGCTGATTGATAGATTCTATTTTGTTTTGGTGGGGAGGGGGGGGGGGGGGGGAAGGTTGGGTTTTTTCTAGTCTAGTCTAGATCTAGACTCTAGAATATCATTTTTTGTTTTTTTTTTGTTTGTTTTGTAGATCTAGATCTAGAATCTAGATCTAGGTCTAGATCTATTAAACAAAAACAAAAAATCGCTAAGCCTGAGGGGGGGGGGGGGGGTTTACTCTAAAACGCACACAAAATAAAGTCAATGGGGGGGGGGGGTTCAACCCCTAACCCCCCCCCCCCCCCCCCCCCCCCCCACCCCCCCCCCCCCCCCCCCCCCCCCCCCCCCCCCCCCCCCTGCGTACCCGCCTGGTGTGGATCATAAATTAAGGCTGTTAAATAATAATTGTTATGAAATCAAAGTAGACTAGAGGTCTACCCCCGGTAGGTCACGCCGGCGCCGTAAAGATATCCCTTTAGGCTTTACCGTACCCTAGCTGGGTCCGCGTCCTACGCTTCGCTTCGGCGAATCGGTGGTGGCTGCGCCGCCCGGTTAAGCTTCCCGTCTTGACTCTGTCCGAAAGCGAAAGTACTGTCACTAGCCTAATGACTAGCGCCGTTTAAACTTAAAGTTAAGCCTAGGCTTAGCATTGTGCTAGTTTAGCTTGTGACTGTCTACGCGTTTATGTACAAAACTGTAATTAACGCATATGAATTTCAGTACTATACTATAAAGTCAATGGACTGCTACTTACAAAATACACTTTCTAATCGGTCGTACCATGCATGCACCGCGGTCTCGCTATGCCAGCTATATATAGTAGCTATGCGTTCCCTAGCTACGCGTACTGTGCGTCGATACGGGAGGATCGACTTACTTGCCAATCGAGTCGATTATTATGAATAATATAAGTTTAGTGTGCTGAAATTTGTAAATTGTGCCGGCCAATATATCGCTAAGTAGGGGAAGGGGGGGGGGGGGGGGGGGGGTAGTGAGCACGAATTTTTCTTCTTTTTTTTGCTCCCGAAAATTTGAAAATCGTTCAAGAAGAGGAACGAGGTCCTCGGGAGTCGACGCAAGCTCGCGGGTACGAGAAAATCCATCCAGGAGCTGAGGACCTCACGCGCGATAACGCCAAGCTCCTCAAGATGACCCGTGACCATCAACGGGTGAAAGCTGCTTGGACACGGGATGGTCGAGTCATCGCCTTGTTGCCAGCAACCGATGGCAAAGAAATGAAGAAAACCATCTTTTCTGAAGCGGACTTGGCCAGGCTCTAGATTCAACCTTTGTCTATAAATAACTTGATAGCTCTTGCCACATGATATTTAAAACATCTCTTTTTATTTACTACACTATTGGTACTGTTGTTGTTTTGTTTTTTTCTTCATATGAATTGTCTTTTTACTTATCTGCGCAATGTATCCTGTGCGCAGTTATATATATGTTTTCCATTCTGTTCTTTTTTGTCTTCCTTTCCCTGTTTATACCTTCCTTTTTCCTCTCCAACTTGCTGTCTCATATTCTATATGTCTCAAGTGTTTATCTTTCTAGTTGTATTTAGTTAGCTAGCCGTTTCCTTATGTCTATGTTATCAGTACTCGTGTTTATCCTGTCACCTATCTTGACCGATCATGGCTCAAATAGATGATCATAATATTTGCAATTTTCTTGAAGCTAGCTTGAGTGATATCAGTGACAGCATTGAAAATATTTCTTTAAGATGTAATTATTCTACAGAACAACAGTTCTTTGAGTCAGTTAAAAATGCCACAGATAAAGAGCTTTCCCTTCTTCATTTTAATATCCGCAGCATGAGTAGAAATTTTGAACATGTGACATCATTTGTGAACAAAATCAGCCATCAACCATTGGTGTCACTGAAACATGGTTCACCAATGAAAATGATGCAAATTTGTTTGTTATTCCAGGTTATAACTTGTTAAGCAATAGTAGAGTAGACAGACGTGGTGGTGGTGTTGCCCTTTATGTTCCGTCTGGGCTCGATTATCGAGTATGTCACGAGCTTAATGTTATGACTGAAAATCTAGAAGCTTTATTTGTTGAAGTCTTTATTTCTGGTAAAAATAATATCGTAATTGGAGTCGTGTACAGACCTCCCAATGGTATTTTGAACATTTTTTTGGACGAAATGCAGAGAGTTTTGGAAAGCCAGTCACTTAACAGTAAATCCTTATTTTTGGTTGGAGATTATAATATAAACCTTTTACAGCACAATGTTGATGCTCATGTTGATGATTTCCTGAATTTGATGTTGTCGTTTTCTTTGTTGCCCTTGATAACAAAACCAACAAGAGTAACTGAATCCTCTGCTACTCTAATTGACAATATCTTTAGTAACTTACAACCTTTTCCCTTATCTACTATTGTTGTGTCGGACTTGTCTGACCATTTTCCTGTGTATACTGTAATTCCTTTGGGAAAAAACTTGTAGTCACCCATAAGAACATTTATGTTAGAAGAAACACCCCAGAAAATATTAATCAGTTTAGAGAGGCGTTATTGGCGACAAACTGGAGTGATGTTCTTTTGAATCAGTGTGATGAGAGTGCCTTCGATATTTTCATGAATAGGTTTTTATTGTTGTATGATGCTAATATTCCAGTAGTAAAGAGTAAAAACAACCGTAGAAGAACTCCACGTATGCCGTGGGTCACCAATGCTATGCTGAAATCAATAAATAAGAAAAATGAGCTGTTTTATAAGTATAAGAAAGCAGGGACGGTAGCTCTAAAAAGGAAATATTCCGTTTACAGAAATACTCTGACTTCTGTGCTGCGTGCAGCCAAAAAACAATACTATTTAGCACAGTTTAAAGCAACTTACAATAATATCAAGGGCACGTGGAAGGTGATAAGAAATGTATTTCAAAAAGCATCTAAAGTAACAAGTATAATACAAATGAATATAGATGACCAAATGGTTGAAGATAAAAATATTATAGTGGAAAAGTTTAATGAATATTTTTGTAATATTGGTCCGAATCTGAAAAAAAATATTCCTAACAGTCAAACTGATTTTCATGATTACTTAGTAGAACCTAACATGCAAAGTTTATTTCTGGTGCCCACAAATGAAGAAGAATTGCTTGGTATTGTTAGAGCCCTCAAGAACAAGAAAAGTCCTGGGTATGATCATATTGGGAACGAACTTATTAAGCAAGTTATTGTCGGTATCCTTCAACCACTAGTTCATATTTTTAATTTGTCTATGTCAAGCGGAGTTGTACCGATAAACATGAAGATCGCAAAAGTTGTACCAATTTTAAAAAAGGTGACTCTCAATTACTGACAAATTATCGTCCGATTTCTTTGTTAACCTGTTTTTCAAAAATTCTGGAAAAAATTATTTATGTAAGAACTATAACATTTTTAAACAAAACATGTGTCTTCAGTAATTATCAGTTTGGTTTTCGGGAGAAGCATACAACAACACATGCAATCTTACACCTTATAGATAAACTTGCTTCTGCCTTAGATAGTCGCTTACACACCATTGGTACATTTTTAGACTTTTCCAAGGCCTTTGATACTGTAGACCATGAAATTCTCTTAAGTAAATTATGTCATTATGGTGTCAGGGGAGTCGCCTTGGATTGGTTTAGAAGTTATCTAACTGATAGAAAGCAATATGTGTCCTTAAATGGAATTGACTCTAGTCCCCAAAAAGTAACATGTGGTGTTCCCCAGGGATCCATTTTGGGACCACTTTTATTCATTTTGTATATTAATGATTTTCAACGCTCATCAAGAGTATTATCATTCATATTTTTTGCTGATGACTCAAGTGTATTTTTTTCTCATAGATGTCCACAAACATTGTTGAAAACTGTTAATGAAGAGTTTCGAAAAGTAATGAAGTGGATCAATGCTAATAAGTTATCCTTGAATCTTCAGAAAACTAATTATATACTGTTCAGTAATTCAGTTAATATTTTGCCAGGCGAAGTGGCATTCAATAATAACCCAATTGAGAGAGTAACTTCAACGAAATTTCTTGGAATATACATAGACGAGAAACTGAATTGGAAAACTCATGTGGACAAATTAAGTAAAGTGGTGTCAAAAAATACTGGTGTTATTTATAAGTTGAGATCATGTATACCTCAAGAGGTATTGTTCATTTTGTACTCTACTCTTATTTTATCATATATCAATTATGGTATGTTGGCATGGGGCAAATCATCCAAAACTCAAATCCACAGGCTTTTTGTTGTGCAGAAGCGGGTTATTAGAATAATTTGTAAAGCAAATTATCGTGCACATACAAATCTACTTTATTATGAAAACAGTATTCTAAAACTAGAAGATCTCTATTCAATGCAACTTGGAATGCTCATGTTTAGCATTCACTCTGGAGACCTCCCTCCTGCCCTTGCTCAAATCTTTAGAAGAAATAACCAAATTCACAGCTATAATACTAGACAGGCTTCTGCTCTCCATTTACCATATGCAAGGACAACCTTCACTTTGAATACACTAATGTCCACTGGCCCCAGGTTCTGGAATTCACTTGATACTACCATAACAAATGCTTCAAGTATCTCAGTTTTTAAACGTAGACTTAAGTCATATTTTCTTGACAAGTATGTCGATGACACATGAATGTGTTATCAAGCTTTATTGTTAGTGTACTGTAGCATATTTTAACTCTACTCTTGATCTTTTTTTCGTTAATTCTTGACTTTGACATAACCCCCTTTATCCCTTTTCTTTTTTTTCTTCTTCTTTCTCATCTGTACATACTACATATACCATATATTCCTACTTGACCTCTGCACTCAGAGAGCAATAACTCATTGATGTCTCGACTTGGTGTCGGCTTGGGGTTTG